TTAAAGAACACTTAATTTTCACTTGCCATCGTAAAGCTTAAGGATTTTAAACTGTAAGTCAAATGTGAAGGATTGTCTTCGATGAGTGTTTTTACCAATACTGAGGTGTATAAGAGATAATCCAATCATGATGCAGTGAGTAAAATGTATTTTATGCTTGCTCACAGGCTTTACTTGATCGTCTGAAACAGCTCTTGTCGAAATCATTCATTATTTGGTCCTGGAACATATTCACAGAGCTATGGGCATGCAACTTGGAATTTCAAATGATTTTGTAATCCTTAAAGAAGTAAGCTTAAATAATATCTAAAGATGCTCTGGTGCTCTCACGCCTCCGCCAACCACAATCTAAAGTATTAAACTCATATGATCCAGATGTATCTGCACAATTTATCTATTGTGCTGTTTAGGGGCCTGCAGCCGGGCTGGTGCCTGTCCTTGTGGTTCCTCTACTGCTCTTCGGCTTTGTGTTTACCAGGAGGTGCAAGCGGAGAGACGTCTGTAAATGAAGGGAGCGTCCCAGACTCTGCTGAAGTCATCACCCCACCCACATGGTTCACCTCATCCCCTGTGCTCTCAACACCTTTGGCTCCTCCTCAGCAACACCTCTTTGGACGCAGCGATATGGCCTCATACAGTGTGAAAAAGGACCTGTGCGAGACAGTGCTGCTGTCCCTTGACGCTTGATGAAATGTCTCTTTTTATAGGGTAAATACACCCAAATATATAATTCACATGTGTTGATTTTTAAGTGATGTACACCTCCGTTTTAATACATGACTTGGACCAGATGAACGGCAAAGACAGACTGTAGTGATGATGTCATGAGACAAATTCTGCAGCTGCTCCATAGACAGTAAATAATAGGACAAATCCCAAGGCATTTTAGTGGATTAGGCACATCTTCTAATTCACAGCGGTAAGTGCTGCTCGACATTCAAATATAACTTATTTGGATGACAAGAAGTTTCCGCTTCTCCGCGGATTCAATCATTAATTCTGTGTCAATGACACACAACCAGTTCTTGTCTCTGTACAACATCATCAATTAATGATCTTCTCATTTCTAACTTATGTGGCAGTAGTCTGAGTTAAAGGGAATAACTGTATATAATTAATTTTAAAAAATATTTTAGGGTGGATTTTCCCTTTAACGTGTGTTTGGTTGTTGGAGCTGGTTTTCATGCAGTGAATGGACTCATTTAAGTCAGATTTATGATGCTCTGGTGATATGACAGGACTGTAATGTGCTTGATTAGTTGTATTACTGGAATCCACTCCTCTCTTGGCTGGTTAACCTATCGTGCAGGCAACTTTTATACCCTCAGCTCAAACCCAGAACAGCCATGGTGATGTTGTTTTTCGGGAATAATCCTCCAATGCTGGTAAACTCCTGGGCAGTGCATTTGCCACAAGCTTCATGAAGACACAGCTCATGGTGCAGGCTCTTCAGGACCACATGACGTGTTCAAAAGTGCCACCCATCTGTCACTTGAAAGAGCTCCGTCCTCAAAGCACAATAGAGACAGAGGTTATAAACAAATGGTATACAAAAGATGTGGGTCCAGTCAGACAGATTGGATGGAGCTTGTTGTTTCTGTGGCGATCCCCACTGTGAGCTACGGCAGCCTTCACAGGAGGGACACCAGAGGGTGATGGGATTTGCACATGGCTGATCCGAAGCTGTCACTGTCCCTCTGACAGTTTTTACCCTTTAGGAATACTGTTGATAATACATAATGTTCTTGTTATTTGTCAATAATCCGCTGGCAGCAGCGCCATGCGCCGTGCAGCATTTGGTTGAAGATAAGAGGCAAAATGAAAACTAACCGTTACGGATACGGTTCACTGATTGTTTCCATTTGTGAATTCCCTTTTAAGTTCTTGCTTTATTGCATTTAAGATGGCTGTTAATCAAACTCCTGGTTTTAATTTTGATTGGAAAATTATTTATGGTCAGATAGGTTGAGTTGGTAATGGAGGACAGGCAGGAATGAACGTACCTCAGAGAGTTGAACCTTTATTAGTTTATCATTGTGGCTTACATATTTCAGTTATTTTTTTTATCAAAAGGGACTGAGTTTAAAAATAAAAACATGGTAGTGTAATGAGGGTTTGGAATTAAAACTGAACTAAGTTGAGAACATCTAGTTTATTGTTTTTCTCCCTTTTAAATCATATTGAAACATTTTTAACAGCAAGGAAAGAAAAAGTCAAATTAACAATAAAGTTTTTCTTTTGCCAGCTAAGTTACAGATACATTTGTTCACTGGAGCCTAGTTTGGTTTTATCCTGACGGGATCATGGGAGTATTTTCCAGGGGCATAATAGTAACTCTGCACCCATTCAGGCTCTGATCCTCCTGGGTGAAAGTTGAGTGTCCTTACTTCCCCCCCGGTGAGCCTCCAGATTTGTGATATTGCCTCAGTTCTCTTGAGATTTTAAGGACAATGGCTCAATGCTGGGGAAGCCGGGGGATTTATTCCTCCCAAACATTAACGCTGTATTCAGGCAGAGCTGAGCCGACTCTTTTCTTCATTTGGTCAATTTAGAAATTGCATATTTTTCTTTTAAACCGTGACAACATTTCTGCAACAGAAGAATTGTTATATACAGTTTGCACATGCAGGTTTTTCCCACAAGCAACTAAATTACAGTTTTTGTTTATGTGCATTTACATTTTGGGTTTTTGAAATATTTCATTTGGGGTTATGATATTCCATAATCTAAAGGGATTCATCTAATTTACCGATTCGAAAATAAACTTCTAGCTCAGGCTCAAACCACATCTGGATTAAACAATAGCGTGTTGTAAAAAAAAAAAATCAAATAAATGCGAGTACTGGAAACTTGGAAGGGTTTTTTACAGTAAATATAATGGGACATCTTTTCATTGGCACATTGTAGCTTTTTCACCAGTAATCCCACCATGTCAAAAGCTGATTACTGTGACAGCTAAAAAGGACAATGTAAGTAACATTATCTCCTAAAGCTGGTTTTCATCGTAGATGTGGATTATCTATCATAACTCATCTCTGATTCTGCTGCTATGTGACAGGATTTATTTCATTATCATGAACTCCAGCGACTCGCTTATCCCCCTCTGTCTCCCTCAGAAGGTGTCTTCCCCCTCTGTGTTGCTTGGCGGGTGAGATGTGAAGATCAAGGGGCTGCATGTTGATCCTAGCTCAGGAATGGAGAGCCTGAGTGTAAAAAGTCTCTCTGTAGACGGCCCGGTCCTGCTGGAAGCTCCACAACTCCCACACACACGCTCCGACCTTGTGCCCATTCACAGTTGACTGCCATGTAAAACACATTGAGTCGCTCTGGAAGCAGCATCACAGCCCCACTGTAAATAAGATACATACGTATGGGGCTCACACACCGTGTGGAAAGGGTTGCTGTGGACCCTGTTTGGCCAACAGATTTAGACACAAGATCCGGGTGTTCCCAGAGGAAGAGGGCTTGTCGTAGTCTGTAAATGTGTCTGCTCCAGAGACAGCATGACAACACCTGATCTGCTGTTCCCGCTGGAGCACCAGGCCAGCCATGTTAGCTATACCAGTCGCAAGGTCAAGGTCTGGACAACAGCTCACTATTGCCTTTGTGTGAGTGCTGGAGGTGCAGCAGATTCTCAGGGAAACTATAGAGTACTTTCCCACAGCTGGCTCTGCAACGTATCACTTACAGTGCGGTTAATATTTAAGGAAATCAGCCAGTGCAGGAGAATTCTGTGTAACTTTAGGAAGGTTTTATTTGAAACATTTTCAAGAACATATGTTGGAGGGCATTCGTGTGTGCATGTGTGTACATAATATCATGTCAAACTGCATTACAGTAAATTTGAAAAATTTTATAGTATCCACATGAATTAATAAAGTAAGTTTTTAGTAATTTTTAAAAAAAAGTTTTTTCAGAGAATAATTTACATTTAAAGCTGGGCATTATTCCAATGTCAAAATAACTTTTATAAAAAAAACACTTATTTCAGTGCAGATGAAGACGGAGGGTCTGTGACTATGACCGTAAACAGAACTTTTAGAAACATTTCCTTTGAAGGAAACCTGCTTACACACAAGGGACTGAGTTATCCCACAACCGAGTCGTTGTTGAATTTTGGTTGTAGTTCTAGTTTTGTTTGCCCGAGAGCACAAAAGAAACATTTGAAGATTGTTTGAATGTAAAACATTTTTTCTAAATGGATTTGGATAATAAGCATGAGACATGGACATTTTCAGTAACTGTAATAAAATGATTCAATTATTCCATATTTTTTCCACAGGGCTGTACATTTGAAATCAACGGGTACAGAACATGTCCTTTTTTAAATTTTAGGGTTTGGAACAATAATGGCACTTTTTGCCATTCATTTGGACCAATACACTAGGTATGTGTCTGTGTATCTTTATATATCTTGTGAATTAAATATAAAATCCCTTAATACATTAATTTCTCAATGTGGCCCTTTATCACCTTTGTTACTTCATTTACAGCCATTATTGTAGTGCTAAAACTGATATAGAGCTTAATTATTCTATAACAAATAATATCATTACTGCTTTAGCAGTGCACCCTGTAAAAAGACAGACAACTATTTTTAAGAAGAACGCAAAACTATAATAGAAAACTATAATAGAACAAGAACTATTACTCTAATACAAAAACTTATTTTAAGACACTTTATTATATTTTTGTACCAGCTTTAAAATATTTAATCTAATATTTTATAGCAATATAACACATATATTGAAATGGAAATATTGTCTACTATTAAGGGTAATGATAAGGTCACTAAGTGTCCTTTGAGAACTTTTTATGGGAGTATGATACCAGAGCAGCTATAAAAATGCCATTAAAATAAGGTCACTATATCGACTATTCATCATCACAGACACACTATAACTCACTTCCCCTCCCAGTGGGAATATTATGGGACTGTTCCACAGTATTTTCACTCTATCAGTCCAACTACCTACACTGCAGCCCTGCTCCGGTCCCGGTGCAGCGTGCTTTTCTTTCTTATGCTAATGCTGGTCTGACATCAGCAGTGAGATCAAAGCAGGGCAGGGGTACTTTAGAGCAGAGTCTGCCCCCACTCAGACTCACTCACTCCAACCTCTCTCTGTCCCACTCACACACTCACACACACACTCACCGACACCGCTCTGATACACACCATGCGTACCTGTCCGGAGCTATTCTACCACCCCATGCTGGATTTTACTCCTGCGTCCGGCTGATACCGACTCGGACAGACTCTGAAAGGATATTCCGACCTGCGGACATTAGAAGATTTTTCTTCCTTGTGTTGTGTTGTTGAACACTGAGAGCTGAGCGCCGCAAAGGTGAGCTGGAGGAGAAGTAGTTGTGTGTGCCGCAGTTGGTGAGTGTGTTTGTGCGCAGAGGATAGCTCTAAAGTCTGCGTTTTACTGAGGGAATATAAAGTTGAATGCTTTGTTTGTCACCACTTTGTAGCGGAGGCATCTTCTGAAAGAGTGGCTTTAGAATTGTGACACAGATTGGTTTAAACTGGGGGGAAATTGTGTTTAACAGCCTTTATTCCACTGTTTTGGAAGATTCGTTGTATTTTAATTAGCCTAAATGTGAAAGAATACCACAGCTGCAGTGCATCCTGCTTCTTAAGACTATTGTCGTTAAAGTAATGTATAGAATCTCTCCTCATGAAGTCTCCACAGGCAGACTGGCAAACAGCATTATTAGTGTTATAAAATCCCCTCTGATCGGTAGGAAATATGATTAATAGCCCACTGCCCTGCCCAGCTTATCTGGGCTCGATGAGGGACACAGCGGACGGTGTGTGGGGCTATCAGCCCTTATCTCCCGGGGGGAAACAGAAGCTGCTTTTTAGCCCACTTTGGCCGAATGTAAATTTAAAGAGTAAATCCACGTCAGGCCGCGACTTCTTAAAACAGATTTGACGCCAAACGACCGACAGAGACTGCGACTGCTCAGTTAATAGGCTACCTGATCATTCATCTGCAGCACTGTATGGTAGCTACATGTTTTATCATTGAGCTTACAGGTAGGGTCTGAAAAGCAGTAGGTCAACACACACCGGTTTCAGTTGGCTCATTTAAATAATTAATATCAGTGATTTCTCTCAGTTTCGAACGCCTCTGGGCCAGTGCGCTCCGAGCAGGATCTGCCGCTTTAATAAGGCCCATTATCAGCTACCTGCTGTTTTAACGTGCCCACTTTAAGCTCTCTTCAAAGAGATGTGTTATCGCCAGCTCGGAGCGCTTCAGATAACGCTCCCGATGCGCTGCGCCGGCCGCTCGCCGCAGATTACTGCGCTCATCCGCGCTGGCGGCCCGCTACCGTCTCCACTCACAGTCACAAGTCTTCACATTTTTAGTGGTGAAGCGGAGCTGAAACAAAACTGAATTACAGAGAGTAGCCTAAAACAAACCAAAGAGCTCGATAATCCCAGGAAATAGGCCCTCCTTGTTTGAATGCCAACCTAAATCGTCCATTTTAATCCCATCAAACAGTGAGATCCTCAATAGGCCTACAACAGTCAGCTACCTCTCATCTCTCTATTGTTGTATATTACAAAAATACCAGAGGTGGTAGACAAGCATAGAGTTAAATAGAATACAGCACTAGTCCCTTTATGAAAATGTACATAATGAGATTTCTTTGTTTTGAAGTTCATTGCAATTACGTGTGCTGTTTCTTTGCATGTAGAAAGAGGCTGAGGCACAATGAAATGTCTTTACAGTGTGCTTGAACGCTTTCGGCAGTGTTAGTGAACTGTCTAGAAAGTATTTCTTCCAAAGCACAATTCTGCTCATTTCCATTATTTTCTGTGTGCGTGATACTTGAGATTGCTGACAGAAGTAAAATAATATTCCTGTAACAGGTTATTCTTTCATTGCTTTATCAGATTTTACTCTTATTAGATTTGATCAGTTTTTTACATTTTAAGGTTTCAGAGTTCGCACAAAGACTTTCACAGTATTCTTCTACGATAAAATACCTAAAATCTGAAAATGTTACAACTGTGGCATGGCCAAGTCCTTGATAATATTTACATTATTTATTACAGGGTTTAGAGGAGAAGACCGTGCCATGAGAGTTGACTTTTGAGTCTAAGCCAAGAAGCCCAACAGCCCTTTGTATTTGTGTCCTGTGTGAACTGGAGCCACTGTCCAACCATGAGGAGCAGCTCTCATGTCCTGCCTCTTGGTGTGCTCACGGCTCTGCTGCTGTCTCAGGTCTGCTCCGGCATCAAATGGCTGTAAGTATTCTCCGGAGTGCCGCCATCTCATTCTGTAGGCCTGTCACCATCTTTACACTGCTTTACATTCAAACGATTTCAAAATAGATCATGTCATGAAGTTACATAGTATTGTGTGGCTCTTTGCTGCATGTTTCTGTGTTTTGTGGAGTGGAGGGCCCATGGCAGCTTAGAAATGGGCCCCGACATTCCTTAAGTTGCTCCTGATCAGGGGAGAGGCTGAATGTTCTGTACATGTGTATCTGATGAAGGGGACAGTAGATTAGCTGGCAGCTCTTCAGGTTATGAGTGGAAACCTCTTTGTTTGATTAACTTAAATGTAAAAGGAGAGGCCATCAGTACTTTAGTTTCAAGATCTCAGATCAAATGTCCCCCCTGCTGTATAATAATACAAAGATAAGAATAGAAAATAAGATAGAGATGGCGAGGCGTCGCGGTGGCGCAGACAGTGCCAGTGACGTCACTGCTTACTGTGTGTAGTCTAGTCAGGCCTCAATCAGTGTAAAATAGCGCATCGTAGAAGGAAACTGATGCTATAAATGTTGACTGCTCGCACTGAGCACCACACTGTTTTTATGGTACTGTAAAAGTAAACAATCATTTTCGCAATAATTTTGGAAAGCCCATAAAATGCCCAAGTTGCTATTTTTTGAATTTATTTATGTTTCAATTGAATGTTGTGGATGGTTTGGTGAGGGTTTTACCCACAATTTGCGTGTTCTGTTGTGTATTTCTTTATCTGAGCTTTATCCCTGCGCCTTATGTCTGATCACTGTGAAAACACAGCTTTCGCTTTGGCTTTACCAAAAATATCCATGGCTTCTTATCAGAGTGAGCGGTGGTAATGCTCACAGTGGGAAGACATAAGCAGATGTGCCAGTCAGGGCTGGGATGGCATGTGCTAAATCTAAGCGAGAAGTCTTGATAATGCACAGCGGTGCAATGCAAAACAGATGCAGCTGTAAACACCTGCGAGTGCCGGGTTACCACGAGCCCACTGGAGTCACAGCTTATCATTGGGCACAGAGTGGCGGCCCCTTGGCCCCTAATGCAAAACAGGCCAAGGTGCTGCCTGGTTCTCACGAACTCTCAGCAGAGTGCAAGACACATTAAGCAGAGATCAGACCTAACCTGCTCCGCCTGTGGTTTTTCTATTAAGTTAATCCTCAATAAATTTAAACAGTTTAAATCAAATGTGTGTACCTTTTAATAGCCTCTAAACAGATGATTCATGTCAAACTGAGGCCACAGAGGACGACGCTTCCTGTGGTGGAAAATGCAAATTGTGAGGGATCTATGTAGTTTTTCATCTGACTGTGGATCAGAATTTACTGGAGTTTTTATATTTTTTGGCCTCTTCTTTGCTTTAACAAAAGAAAATGCCCGTGCCAAGAACATGTCACTTATATTTTATGAATCCGCAGCTGACTCTCCTTCGGGATTTTCGTGTGATAAGATAGTTCTTTTCTGCAACGCGTGCCAAAATATTTCCCTGCCTGAAGCATTATCTGTTTGGATTTTTCAATTGTTTGTTCAAAGCTGATGTGTCTCAGAGGCTTGAAATGTGTGTACACAAGAACCTCAAATCGCTAACACACCACTGTAACTAAAACTCCCAGCATGCGTTGTTATTGCCATAAACGTGATAATTTCACAACTCATAAAACAAAAAATGTAATTAGGCAATCGTCACATTGTTGTCATCACCACCACAATTAAGAGAATTTATTTTGTTGACTGCATACTGAGCAATACCTCTTGTCTGTGTTTACAGAGCGCTATCACACACTCCTGCATCTTTACACATCAACCATACCCAACACTGTAAGCTGCTGCCCGGCATGGTGTCCTCCCAAGCTCAGCTGTGCCGCAGCAACCTGGAGCTCATGCAAACCATTATCCAAGCTGCCCGCGAAGTCAAGAAAACATGCCAGAAGACCTTTTCTGATATGCGCTGGAACTGCTCCTCCATTGACATCCCAGTTGATGCCCCGAAGTATCGGCCAGACCTCGACCGAGGTATGGTTATAAACATTTTGGAATGACAGCGTTGTTTCCAAAGAGCAGCTCCAACTTTTTTTTTTTTTACCCACAAGAGTCTGATGTTTATGGTCACGCTTGACCTTCAATAAATATCTCAAACCAGGGTCATTAAGTGCGGCATGTATTGCAGTTCAGTTTATAGTAACTGGTGAAATGATCCTCAGCATTTTAATGGTGTCTGTGCTCAGACGCCACTGTAGATTTGTCTGTATGTATGAACATGACTGCTATCGAGAGAGCTCTGATAGAGAATTATGTCCTTTTCAAAAGTGATTTCTAGTTTTAAAATGATATGTTGCCTCATCTTTCCACTTTTTTTTTGCTGCCAGCCAAATTATTACACTTTTCATTCCTGGGGAGCTTTCACCACCACCTCCACCACATGTATACATTCTGTATGATAAAATAACTGGCTTATTATTATTATGTTATTTCCAAAATCCACAGCATTATCTGACTTGCGTTGCAGTCTGACTGAGCTGTTTGTATTGCCAAAAGGGCCTTGAGTCAGCCAGAGACAGTCGCTGGGTTGTGGGTGGGGAAGTGCTGTGTGCAACGTTCCCCAGAAAGGACATGGCTGCCATTTGCCAAATGAACAGTCTGCTCTGAACAGGAAATGGCTCATCTCTGTCCAGGGATGGCTTTGATCTAACCAGCCCACGGTCATACAAGATTTCTTCCCTTACTTCCAATTGCTCCCCGGCCTTCAACATATGTGCTTTCCGTGTATGCACATCAGCACCAATCACATCAGTGCTCACTCTGCATTACAGCCGGAGCAGTGATGGACTGTGTTTGAAAGTTTCATTTTGTGCACTTACGTTCAGTTTTTTCACTGAGACAGTAGAAAGCTGACAGAGAAATAGGACATATGGATAGCGGAGAAGTTGATTATACAGCAGAAGTGGTTTGAGACTTTTCTATAGATGTTTTGGTTAGTTTTTTTTACTTGCTGTATTAACTTGTCATTATTGGAATCCATTATAACCAACATCAATTCAAGCTACATACATTATGACAAATGACAGTAGGCCAGTCTGCCTGTCTTAAAAGTATGTCTAATCTTGCAGCTTCTGACAACCAGAGTGTAGAATGCAGACATCCAATCTATCAGAAACAGACCAATGTCACTAAACTTCACTAACAAAATCAGACAAAATATTCCCACTGAACTGGTAGTATATTTCGTAAATATTATATCATATTTTAAATTTCTGAATCTACTAGTGTTTTTCTGCTGATAACTGCTAGAGCTGAATGATTAGTCAATTAATTTTTCAAGCAAAAAGGCCAAACATCAACTAGTTCTTTGTCTTTGTCTTGTGTGATAGGAAACTTGAGTTACACCTTAAGCTTCAGGAAATTGTGACAGGAACGTTCACAATATTCTGACATTTAGGAGACCAAAAGATTACTTGATTGGTCGAGAAAAGGACTGATAATTAAAATAATCTCTGGTTACAGCCCTAATGAACTGACTTACTTCTAGAGAAAAAGATCATTGAATGGCTTTGGTGTTTGCATTGTCAGTTTAACTCGGCCTAAAAACCCTTTTTTTTGTCTTCCTTTTTACCAATATCATTTGGATTTCTTATATGTTCTTATCTTATTTGACAGGAACGAGAGAGGCAGCGTTTGTCTACGCCTTGTCCGCAGCAACCATCAGCCACACCATAGCACGGGCGTGCACCTCTGGAGATTTGCGGATCTGCTCGTGTGGTCCTATTCCTGCGGAGATCCTAGAGCCCGGCTATCGCTGGGGTGGCTGCGCTGACAACCTGCATTACGGTTTGATGATGGGCACAAAGTTTTCTGACGCTCCCATGAAGATGAAGCGTGCGGGTTCCCATGCCAACAAACTGATGCACCTACACAACAGTGAAGTCGGGAGACAAGTAAGCAATATGGCCATATTTTAACAGTTATTTCTTACGTTTTTTAACAGTTTAAATTGTAAATGTATTTGTGTACATTTTGTATTCCTGGCTTGTTCTGTATCTTATCTGTATCCCACAAAGAGTGAGCACTATTTAACCCCCCTCTGTCCTCCAGGTATTGAAAGAGGCGCTGGTGATGAAGTGTAAATGTCATGGTGTGTCCGGCTCCTGCTCTATAAGGACCTGCTGGAGAGGCCTACAAGACCTGAGGGAGATTGCCATGGACCTGAAGACAAAGTACCTGTCTGCCACCAAAGTGGTTCACCGGCCCACAGGGACACGCAAGCAGCTGGTACCCAAAGACATTGACATCAGGCCGGTGAGGGAGAACGAGCTTGTCTACCTGCAGAGCTCCCCAGACTTCTGTAGCAAGAATGACAAACAGGGCTCTGTTGGCACACAGGACAGGTGAGACTGCCACGTCACATTGTTGTGTTTGACTGTTAGTGTGCATGAGAACCAGGGGGATATTTAGTGGTAATGATAGTTCTGTTGCTAGATTTACTAGCATGACTCATGAGTGATGTACCCACGCAGCTGACAAATCAGAAATGACCCATCCCGAATGTCTGCTCATCCAGAATGTTGACTCTAGTGAAGTGCTGTGCTCCCTGATGGCTCCGTTTAGTTTGCAGGCTGGCTGATAACAACCAGCGGCCCCTGAGAGTGCTCCGTCTGTGGCTTGTCGGAGCATGTGTCACTGAAAAGGTCGTTGTGACTGGAGTCGTTGTCCTGCTATCTAAAACAATGACTAAAGCGGGTTATTCTTAGGACTGAGTGCACTCGAGCTGATATTGATCGGAGAGGGCCACACAAATGGGGAAATAGTTATTGGCCCCTCAAAGATAAAGGTTTATTTACACCATTCAGCTCCAGTGTTTTAGTTGGGAGAGTGATTTGTGCTGCTGCTTAGCGGGCAGCAAGGAGCCCATTTGTCTGAAGGTCTGACTCAGGCTTTGATCTGGCTGGCTAGAAATGTGGCGCAAATATGCAGCACTATCTTGCAAGCTTATTGAATTTCCCAATTTTCCTTAAATGTGTTACAGTGAAAGACAGATTGTATCTCAGGCTTTATTCTTCTGTTTTGAGTTGCATGGCACAGGAGGCAAATTTCAAGTGTGGTTGCTTGACTTGACTTGATTTTACCAACATTACCCCACCCCCCACCACCTGTTAGCTTGTTTAACCAGACATACCCCACTTTATAAGAATAAGTGCAGTAATTTACACATTCACATGCCAGCAATCATGGTTTTGTAAGCCACTGATAAAAAGCTCCACTAAACGGCATGTGATGTATGTTTTGAATGTCATATATCACAAGACTGTCACATCATGTGTTCCTCAGCCATAGGCCACTCTACTCTCTGGTTCATGTCGAGGACACTCACTGTGCCCAATGCGTAGCCTGATAACACATCAGCCACACACAGTCTTCAACATTAATGCTTTTGCCAAATAATGGGGCACCCGCTTTGCTGCCGTCATTACACAGATGTGTGGCACTGATGTTTGTGTATCTGTCAGTTTACATGCGTGGGTATTGATTACTCCCATGTGTGCCTAGACCGATTGTATTGGAGTAAGTCTCAGACTTCCCCACATCATAACACTTGATCACATAGTCGCAATACTGTGAGCTCTGCTTTGATTTCTCACTCACCGGTAGTCACTTGAGGAGAGGCTTTTATCAGGTTTTACACTTGAATTGACCCTGCTCCTTTCTACAATGTTAGCACTGACCCAATCACAAGACCTTACAGCAGTAGAAACCCTTTCTAAAGTCAGTGTTTTGGACCAACAAGATAATCTGGGACAGGGAAAGTCAATTTTAGCAGCAGTTCCTAATGGATTAATGTGATCACTGATGCCAAAATGTGTCATGGCCCTGGGTTGAGGCACGCTAATGAAGCTCGTGCTTTAGTCTTAAATTACATTATTGTGCTTCTGCTAAAACCAGCAGATGTGAACTACAGAATGTACAGGACACCAATAATATAATGAGATCTTGCTCCTGACAAAACATAACTAAGTGGGGATTTCTGTCTGTTTCCCAGCTCCCACCAATGTAATAAACCTGTCTTACACTCTCAATGAGTCTTGTCCCTCCTCCTCCTCCTCCTCCTCCTCCTTCACTCCCACAGCAGCCATCAGCCCAGTGTGTCCCTCACCATGCTGGTCATTAACACTCTGCCATCATAAAACAATGCAATTATGTGGGGAGGGCAAGCCAAAGAAAGGGAGGGCAGCCCTGTGTATTCAGTGTGATTTACGGCAGGGCTATTCTCTGCTCATTCAAGACGCCTTAGGCTTCTGAAATGAGAGGCTGAGCATCCACTGCCTAAAGACGACAAAACAAAAAGAAAATGAAAGGGAAAAAAAAGTTTGGAAGAAAGACTGCACAAAAGGTTAAGTCACAACGGTCGGTCAGGCACTTTTAAAGGACTATTGTGGGCTCTTCCCTGGCCGTGAGATTGTACAAAATATTTAAGAATGAAGCTGTAACCTTGTCTAATGTCTAAGGCAGGAAACAAGACTCCTTTCATTGCTGGCTGTTCAGTCCAAACGTTGCCTCCCTGTACTTGTTGAAGCAAATATATATTCATTTGCAACACAAAATAAAATACTCATTTAATATTTTCTTTTTTTTGTCTATGCTTATTTCAGGCAGTGCAACAAAACCTCCCTCGGCAGTGACAGCTGTGACCTGATGTGCTGCGGCCGTGGCTACAACCCGTACACAGAGAAGCTAGTGGAGCGCTGCCACTGCAAGTACCACTGGTGCTGCTACGTAACCTGCAAGAAGTGTGAGCGGATTGTGGAGAGATACGTCTGTAAATGAGTCTGTGCCGACGACGGCAGTCCCCACCAGCAGTCCTCTACTCGTACCCAGCCATCCGAGGCTACAGATTAACCAAAGCACTACAGTACCAAGAAGGCTTACTTTTGTCTTAAGCTTTAGCATGTGTATCTCAAGGAGAAAATGGTCTATTCTTGTGTCAGTATCATTTTTGTATCAAATCTCCACACTGCCAATTGGGCTTCTCAGCTTTTTCGCTTCAGAAACATGGATGTGGAGAGTGTGGCGACAGCGCCGGTTTACGTGAAGACCGCCGTCCTCCTGGGTGTTTCCTTTTTCTTGTTAATGATTATAAATCCCCCTAACAGGGATACTGAAAGTCTATTTTATTATATCTCTAGTAAAAAAGAAATAATATTGGATTTTATGCTGGAGGAGAGGGACAGAGACATACGGTTGGCTTCATTCCATGGAAATCGAATGGTTCTGATGGATCCATGTGGTACTTTTCTAGGTACTGTTTTTCCTCTGCGGTGATGGACAATAGAGGAGAAGGGAACACAAAGGGAATTTCAAGTACTTTTCAACCATGGAACATTTTTGTGGATGACGTTTTGACTCTCACTAACATGTCCTGTGTGGATCTTGACATATCCTGCATCCCTGTGGATTGAGAGAAGAGCATTAAGGACTTTGTAAATTGGTGCATTATCTCCTTTATGTCTGATATGCAGTTCAAAATATATTCTATTTTTCATGAGCTATTTTTAATGAGCTGAACTCATGGATTTTGTAAACCACTTTTGTGTGGATGTACATACTGTTATTTTGTATACTGAAATAAAGAAAGAAGTATTTATAAAATAATTAAATGATCTTCACCATCATCTTTACATGAAAATTGCATGTCTTTCTCTATGAACTGCACTTCTAATGATACACTGTGTAGCTCATTTTACAAAATATTGGCAAAGACAAACTCATAACCTCCAAGCCTAATTATTTTTAAACTAGCAACATTTACTGTAATTCACTGCAAATCCAAGTGTTATAAAATAACAGTTTACCACAACTTATAGCACAGTGTGATTGTAAATCAGCTCAGCAGTCAGTAATGAGTTGCAGGGTTCAACCTGACAGCCTATTGGGATTGCTCTCTGAATTACCCAAACCCTGGGAAAGTGTTTGTTTGGACATTCCACCTCCTCACAAAGGCCATTACAAAGGGATTTTTGTCACTCCTATCACGGCTTTAACACTCAAACACTCATCTGTCTGAGAGTGAGAGCTCCAATGGACAAATATCAAATAAAAAAAAGACAGAAAGGTTGATAGTTTGAAGTTTGATGATATGTAGCCAGACTATTGGCCTGTCAAAGGGAACATACTTGGTGCTGCGTCGAGCCAAGATATGACCCTCTGGCCAGCCTTGTGTTGGTTAAAGTGGTTCTCATGATTTTACACTGACGGAAATAGCTGTGGAAGATATAGGGCCCATGCTGTGAGCTCACATGATACACCACAGCACCAGCCTGCACAAGCTGCACACTCACTGAAGCTGTAACACCTCTTGACCCTAGCCTGTGGACGCACACAGAATCTGCCAAAACAGCTCCACATACTCTGGAAAAACAAGGCTGAGGGGGATATTATCACCAGTCATTAAGATGATAGTGGCCATTTCATGATGCTGGACTCGTTTCACAGCTGTCCATTTCATTTTATTTTTGGATACCAACATAAGAAGAGTTGATTAGGTACATCTCAGGTCATGAGAAGAAATGTGACTCCTGATCCAAAGCCAAGACCCAGGATACACAAACCTCTAATGTTCCCACATAGAGCCAAAGGTACATGGTACAACTGAGGGGAGTCACTGAACAATGAACTCTAAGAAGTCTTACATATATATATATAAAGACTGGATCAGTCTAAAAGTGTAAAAGCAGAAACAGGCAGTGTGGACGGACGCAGTGCACTGTATCCTTTTGGTTTGGGGGCATGGAAGATCTGCTGCGTGCAGGTGAGCGGGGGTCTGCTCTGTCTGCACACAGGCCTGTCAGTCGACTGCCTCAAGGACTATTCAGTCACTGGCATTCCTCAGCCTGGTAGTTGGAGAGAATAGGCTGTGTGTATGTGTGAGTCCACCCACTGCTGTCTGTCACTGGGTTCACTGCAACAGAAATGTGAAGCCTCACATGCTGACGGAGGACTTGTACACTGTCCTCAAGTACAGGTGGCTTAGCCATAGTCAGAGGAATACCAGTGGGTGAAAAATTGCTAATGAAACCAAAATCATGTTTGTGTGCCTGAGTATATCCAAGGTGCTTCGATGTTCCTCTTAACACATTTGGTAAATATGCCACAAAAAAACATTTTTTAAATGTATTAATTTTCTTGTCTAATACTCTCTGGAATGGTTGAAGCACCTTTGAAAAAGTGCTGACAATGAGGCAATCAGCTGAACTCTTGACCCTGTAAAGTACCGTGCTAAGACCCCTGATATGTCTCAACATTACTTTTGAGAGATACCTTTAATACCTCTAATTTACTTCATTTACAAAACTGTGTTCATGTAAATGTTAAAACCAAGTGTATAGTTCATTGTCACACTCCAATACCATGGAATAGTTTCATCGGGTCTCTTAAGATTAGATAGGGCCTGAAGTCAGACCTGGTTTAGTCTGGAAATGCTGACCCACTGAACAACCATTGTTATCATTAAGACGTGCAACTATTCAGCTGACCTCAGTCTAACCCTTCTGAAATATCTCTCCTTGGACAATAAAACAACATTTCATGCAAGGCCTGAAAGTGCTAACAATATGAACCTGTTGTTAACATTAATTTGCTCCACATTCTTCCATTTGTCTGTCAACACAAACTGTGGTGGAACGGAAGACTGACTGTGTGGAAAATGGGACTTGAATGGGTTGCCATTTTGGCGGGGATCAGGTGAAAAGCAGCTTAAGTGCGGCCCTCATCCGGGCCGTTAAAGACCTTTGTGTCCAAGAGGAAAACAAAACAAAAGTAAAGACGACAAAAAAACGGAACTAATCGCCGCTACAGTTTCTGGTTCTTTTCTTTCTTTCTGTCTTTGTCACAAAGTATCTAAGTATCTCTCCATGGTTGGTGTGACCCCCTTGCTCGGTGGGAATCGCCTGGTAATAGAGAAGGAAAAGAGGACTTTAATGGAGAGCAGTGAAAATATCAGGGGTTAATGTCAGCCTGGACAATATAGTACCAATTGCCTTTGTGAAGCCTGCGGTCTAGATAACTAGCTGTGAATGAGAGAGACAAAGAATTTGGCTGGAGTGGTAAAGGCTTTCAGATGTACTGACCCGTACTGTAAATGGACTTTTGTGGACCCCACCCCCACCCTCCAGCCTCCAGCCTTTAAATAGGAACCCAGCAGTATGTGCTGTTAAAGGCCATTTTTTGTTTGTGTGTTTTGTGTGTGTGTGTGTGTGTGTGTGTGTCCTCAGGCATGTTGCTGGGAGATAGCAAATCATACAAAGCATGCACCTTTCCAGATAAACCAGCGGATGGCTGAGGAGCAGATAGTGACACAGAAGTTTAAGGTGTTTAGTCGGAAACTAATTTGGCCAAAGTTGGCTCTCTGTGAATACAAATAAAGATTTCATTGTGGAAATAAAACCTTTAATGCTTTTATCCTGTGTCGCCCTTCAATTTTATTATCTTGTATGCGTTTTCTGCGATTTGTTTTGTGTTACGTTTAGAAACAAAACAATCGAACCAAGCCACACTTTACCTTTATTTGAAATCATTCTACTACTTTTTCTGATGATATAATACAGAAAACGGACCCTGGAACAGCAGTATTAGTAGCAACAACAATAAACAATTGGCAAATCACTTATATTTACTGTAAATATTTTTTTTTCATTTGAGTAAGACTAACCCCTGTGAAAGCAGGGATACAAATAATAAACATGAAACCTATATTACAGTTTAAATAGTATAACCTTTTCATTTTTACAACCACTATGGTCAGACATGACAGACAGAAGCTGAGCTATAGTGCATATTTTAGTTTTTCAGTTATGAGCCACGGTGAATTTCTCAAAGTAATCGAAATAAGCCTGTAATTTAATACAGCACACAAATCAATATAGTATGCATGTAATGAGGGTCAGTGAACAGCTTGGCCATATATAGGCACGTAAATCTAACTCATATTTTAGTGCTAAACTCTAACACCAAGATTTTAATGATTCCTTCAGTGTACCTATTTACATTAAAATATTTCTATCACATTTTTTTCTGAAGTGTTTTAAAACTCTGTGAAACTGAATCAAAGAAACTTATTTTCAGTTTTTGAGTTATACACCCTCCATAAAAGTAAATGAAGTTAAACCACATGCTACGTTGTTTGGGGTAAAAACAAATTTGTTCATCTTCAGACTAAACTCGACATTAAACCGATAAATTAATACTTCCGTAGTCTCAACATGCAGTGAATCAGAGCCTATCTGGACCCCCCTCAGTATAAGCTATCAGAGGAAGGATGGATGAAAAGAACCGTGGGGAGAGAAAGAGCGAGACTGAATTAATATGAATAAAAGAAACAGCGGGCTAAGTACGCTGGGAAAAGTAAACACTGATCCGTGTAATCACAGTAAATCTGGCCGGGGGGCCGACAGAGCGGGCTGCGCCCTCAGTCGAGGAGTCAACAAACCCAGAGAAAAAAACAGCTAACTAACTAACATTACTGAGAGGGGTTAAAGAGGGTAGCGGCACGGCTTTATTCACATGAAGATCACTGAAACACCGCCATGTTTACCCAGTGTCTGGCTGAGTTAAACTATGTAAACCTCAGCATATAATTCAAGGAGAGATCTCAGGGTCACAAATGTAAAGATGACTTCAGTCACAGAGAGTTTTCAACTGATGTGTGTGTGTTCTGAGAAGTCAGCCATATCTGACAGAGACTGTTTTAGCCACTTCTGACATGAAACCTGCCGCTGTTTAAGACCAGAGTTAGAAGACCAATGAGGAAAAACACACACCTAGCCAGAGGCATTAAGATCAGCCATGATGATCTGATAAATGAAGCAGCCCGGCCCCCCACACCGACCACAGATCAGTCAAAGCAGCAGTCAGGCCAATTGCCTTTGCATTTCATCACCCTGCATCAAGTATTTCTTTCCTTGGTAACATCCCTATCTAACAGTCAGCTGTCATGCAAACACATTAAAGGAATGTGGCTAATGACAGATATGAAAAAATGGCAGGATATAAAAGAAAACATAAGAACCAAGAGGTGATGTTAAGACATCAGTAGTATTAGTATAATCAATAATACATACATTACTTTTCCATCTGTTAATTGATGAAGTCAATTACATCTTTTGTTTTTTTTAGATGCATTTGCCAGACGTACAGTATCTTCTTATGTGTCACACATGTTTATTGTTAATTGATTTATTCTAGTTTTAATATGTCTATGAACTGAGGAACAGATTTTATGAGTTCATTGTTAAATAAGACAAAAATCTGGAAACATTTGGTATAACTATTGATTTGTGGATGTTCTTTTGAAGCGCAGTGCAGCTCATGCATTCCTTTGTTTCAGTGTCCAGTTTTATAAGATAAATGCACAAGTGGATATTGTTGGAAAAGGACTTTTTCATTTGTTTGTCATATATATTGATATATTGAGAACAGATGTGGGTCCTGTTTATTTCTGACAAATATTCAACTCTCATTGTGACTGTGGCCCAAAGGTTGTATTGTAAGAATAATTCTTTTGCGCCAGTCAATTCAACAGGCTGCTGATCTCTGTGGAGCTTTGTTTCAGTATTTTGTTAACCCAGACAACTCAGGTTGAACACTGGAACACGAGGACAAGCTCAGGCCTAAAATTGCTCCTCCACTTCCTTTGACAGCCACAGTTGTTGAGTGGCTGAAAAATACACACAGCTTTGGCTTAATGCAGATAGACCATATGAGCTCAGTGCACGGCTCAAATCCCCCCAGATCTGGTTAAATGCCGCTTTTCTCTCAAGTTGTCCAAATGAATGGCTGAGGCATAAAATTCTGACATTTCTT